GCCCGCCGTCCGCGCCGCCGTCCGCCGCCCGCGGGCGCCTTCCCTGCTCACTTGCCGCGGGTGCCCGGCCCTCCGGCCGCTCTCCTCCCGTCCTCCGCCGCTCCGTCCCGCCCCGTCCAGCCCGTGCCGCCCGGCTCCCGCAGGCCCCCCACGCCGCCCGCGTTCCTATGGACAGAAGCACGGACACCTGCAGGTGGGTGAGAGCCCGCGCGAGGGGCGGGGACGAGCGCGCCGACGCGGACCCGGGCGCGGGGCCCCTTTGTGTGGGGGCGGCCGCGCCGTGACCCGGCTGAACCCTCCTTTTGTCTCCGTGGAGGGGAGCGAGGCCGGAGCGAGGGCAGAAAGCGCGCGGCCGGACGTCGGCAGCGCCGGGCTGCGGGGTCCGGGCGGAGACCCGGCGGGCGGGCTGGCGGGCGGCGGTGTTGTTTCCCCGGCCGGCCGGGCTCCCGGCGTCTCCCGCCGGCGCGCTGCGGGGGTCTGGCTCGCCTGCTGCGGCTCGCGGGTCTGTTGGAGGTGGGAAGGAGGGCGGGAAGGAAGAAGAAAAGATCTGCCCTTCTAGTTTCCAAGTCTGAGGTGGTTCTGGAGAAGGAGAGGCGGCTCAGGGCTTTGCCCGACTTGTTTCCCTGCTCGGGAGGCACCTCAAGGTGCGTGTGGGGCGTGTGTGAAGGAACGTGCATCGCTGCGCTCTCTTATTTATTGTTTCTAACGGAGGAGGGCTTTCTCCGGGAGCCTCCCGCGTCCCCCACCCCCATCTGAGGCTGCGCACAGTGATTTGTATTTGTGATCAAATGCATCCAGAAACAGGAGTCCCCTGGGTAGAAGGCAGTGGGGCTGACCAACATCAAGCGAAAATCAAACGAAAGCCAAAAAATGTGTTAGATTGCTTTTTTAAGGCTAGGAAGGGACTTCAAGAGGGGAAAATGAACATAGCTGTGATTCTTACATATACTGTTTTTCTTTTGCTCTTTTCTTTTCTTTCTTTTTTTTTTTTTTGATTGGAAGTTTTGGTGTAAAGTTTTTTGGCCTCTCCCCCGACCCAACACACACACTCGGTTAGAATCAGCATGACAGAATATTCTACCTATGAAATGAACAGTCAGGCGAGTCGGGTAATGACGGCTTCCGTTGGAGGGCAGTAAACAAATGATGTAGCTTACTGTTCAGGCTTAAATATTTGCCTATCTAAGATACGAAGTCTTTAACATGAGGAAGACTGGACTGTTAGAACTGCCCCCTCCCCCATTATTCCTATCTTGTGTTACTCAGTGTGTTTATTCTGTGCCTGAAACCCAAGGATTGAGTTGTATATATTGAATACAGTGTTTTGAAGGGTACTGTAGGACGATATTTGTTTTCTCTAATTAGTTGGCTAAATTGCTTTGTGAATAGTTAATATGTATCTGTAGATATTCATATAGTAAGTGGAGTTCAGTTAGCATCTAGGGAATAAAATTTCCAAATTCAAAATTTTTATTGTAGATATTTGGATTGTATCTTTGTATGAATCTTAATCTCCAGGTCAGTTCTGGAAACTTTTGTCTTTTCTCTTAGCCATGTTGACAGACTTTAATGTGACAGTTACCGAGAGATTAAACAAAAATTTTGAGAAGCAAATACAGTTATACAACAATTTGGCGTGAGTGGAGGCCTTTTTTTTTTTTTTTTTTAAGCAGTATCTAAACATGAAGGAAATTGTGGTGCAAAAATGTTTGTTATTCAAATTTTTATCAAGAAAGATTTAAGAAATTTACCAGAGAAAAAACATAGTTTAATGAATTTTTATTGACAAACTCATTTTTGCTCGGTATTTTCAAAATGTTGATTTTTTTTTTCCTGTTTTTAAATAGTGATCTTTTTCTAGGAGAAAAATTTATCTTAGATTCATGCCCCAGTTACATTAGATTGGTATTTTTGTATGCCTGATTTTATAAATTTTTGGATTATGCTTCAATGTACTCTTTTAAAATCTAGAATAGTATTCGTCTGTGATCCTGCAAACTGTGGAGGTGATCATATTTCACTAGCTTCTGCTGTGACTTCCGGTCTAGATTAGGTAAATAAAGTTAAAAGCTGCACTGAGGCACCCAGCTACGTGTGTGGCTCTGGTAGGCTCTGGACTGATGTTCCTCTCGCATTTCTATTGTGAATAGTGCAAAGAGGAGAGGCATTGAAATCAGGGCTGGTTATCTCATCACTGGTGGGAGGGAGTTCTAGAACACTCTTAGGATTTCAGTTCTTCAGCTGGCTGAAGTATTAAAAAAGATAAGCTAACAAGTGAACCACTTGTTTATGTGTTTACATGGCTGTCAATGGTAGTGATAAGATTTAACAAAGAGTCACTGTGTAAACTAAATATTAATTGTTTTGGCAGAGTTGTATTTGTGCTAACAGTTTGCTTAGATCAGTACTGTAGTGTCTGTGGACTGGCTCAAAAATAATAGCAAGTTATTTTGTTTTTCACGGATACTAATTTTTTGCTTTTTATATAATTAATATTTTAATATAAACACATTTCAGAGAATGTTATTTTCAGCTTACTCCCTTTTTGGTAAGTTGGTGTTAAGGAAAGCATGTAAGTTTTCGTTTTTATGGTTGAATTTTTTTCTGCTGCTTTTTACATTGTGAGAAGTAAATGCTACTTCCAGAAAATGTGAATTTGTATAAAATTGGATTTTAAAATGCAACTGATACTTACTAGTCTTTTTTAAAAATTAAAAGAAAAGCACTAAGATGGCCGCAAATTTGATAGGTTTTAAAAAGCTGTAGATTTTCCTATTTAATTATCAATATTGCATCAAGGAAACTTTAAATGGCCAGTTTGTGTTAACTGAAACCCTCAAATGATTAGTATTAATAATAAAGGGAAAGTTGGACAGTAACAGTTTTAGTTTTTATAATCTGTGACTTTGAAGTCCTCTGTTGCACACAGGCTTTTGTAGCCTGATGGGCAACTGGCCTGACTGTGAGAGGTGTGGACAGTAGCCTCTCAGTCTAGCCTTTATGTCATCTCATATTGTCTTAGACCAGTACAAGCCCATCCTGCTTGCTGAAAACACAGAATTCATTCTTGGATTAATATTCTGGTGCCAGATGTATGAGGCTGGCTCCAAAGAAGCTTTTTCTCTTAAATACTGTCAAAAATAGAGAAGCTGAAGATTGGAGAGAAGCCATTTATTTTGAACAGTTTTATTTTATGACAGTTTGTGTTTGTAAAGAAACCTGCTCACAATATTTACTTAAGCAGAGAAGCCCCATAAGTTTCTTTCCTTTTCTCCCCCCCCCTTTAAAAAAGTTTCCACAGAGTTTAACTCTTATGTGATGCTTCTTGACTTTCTGATTAGTTGATTTATAGACATTATTTACCAGCATGATTGGAGAATTCTTTTGCTGGACTGAAATTGCACTCTCCCTGTGCTCTGGTCTGTTTCCTAGGTAACAAATGCCCTGCATAGATTCTGTAATGAGGACTGTGGTTGGCTAGTTACTGTGTAAATTCTGTTGTTTGGTAAAGCTTAGTTTTAAATTTAAATAAAGGTCAAGAAAGCAAAAGTACTGGAAATGCAAATTTGGGGATTTTATTTGTATCCAATACCAACAAAGTTTAATGGGCTTTTCTGGAGAAAGGCAAATTATGCAGCGGTATTCAGGTTTGTTTTGCAGTCTTTAAACAGTTGGAAAGCTTTTTCACTGTTTCCTAGTGGTGATGCTAATAGTTCTGGTGATAGGATATATTTCAGAAACATGTTGTCACACTTGCAAGTAATAGAGAAATCAAAGAGCTGTGGTAGGGGGACATCAGTAATATTTTTATACTGAAAGGGAAGTAACATCACAGAAGAAAAATTGGAAAGTAACTTCTGAAAACTTTAAGATATTGAAGTATTTAAGAAACTTTTATTTTTTTTAGCTGAAGTTTTTTATTAACTCATTTACTTGTCTTCTGGTTTGTTGAAGCCGTAAGTCAGACGACACTTGCTACAATGTCTGTCACAGTGGCTGGCCTTGAAAACTCCTGCACAGCACTCAGCTGAAGGGCGCTTTGGATAAGGATGACTAATTTTGCCATTTTCAACCACCTTGTAGTATTTTAGGACAGCCAACTTAACCTTCTTTCTCTTATGCTTATTCTTCTTAGGAGTGGTGTAAGACTTTTACCTTTTCTTAGCACAACATGGAGTCTCAACACAAGATGAGGGGTAGACTCCTTTTGAATGTTGAGACAAGGTATGTCCATCTTCCAGTTGCTTACCAGCAAAGAGGGAGGAATTCCTTCCTTATCCTGGATCTCGGCCTTTACATTTTTTTGTAGTGTCCGAGGATTCAACCTCAGGTGTGATGCCCCCCCCCCCC